AATACTGAAGACGTGTTCTAGATCCCTGCATATTGTCATGATCACATCTAACCTAGAATATTTTCTTATTATGCATTTTTCCATAAACAAAAGCTAACAATGAGGGTAGGAAAAGATAGCATAAACACTAAAATGTGTGTTTGTTTCTATAGGAACCCAATGGAGAAAGGACCAAGAGCAAGATTTAAAGAGTGTTCTGAAGAACACTGACCAGGAGATCCCGTTGGTATTCGTCAGCGGAAATCACGATATTGGCAATACTCCAACAAGAGAAACAATAGATAATTATTGCAAGAACTGGGGAGATGACTACTTCAGCTTTTGGGTTGGAGGTGTTTTCTTTCTTGTGCTGAATTCTCAGTTATACTTCGATTCTTCCAAATGCCCTGAGTTAAAGCAGGCCCAGGATGTGTGGCTCAGTGAGCAACTGGCTGTCGCTGAAAAACATAAATGCAAGCATGTAATAGTATTTCAACACATCCCACTGTTTCTGAGAAAACCGGATGAAGACCACGATTATTTCAACTTGGAAAAATCAGTTCGTCAAGAGATAATGGAAAAGTTTCATAAAGCAGGTATTTTCTCAAATTTTCCTGGTTTTAAATTTTTGTCTTATATTGTTAATGACACTGCTGCCAGACAAAATGCGTTTAACTTAAATGGTACTATTTCCCAGGGACTTTAGATACTGCTTCTTAGCCTCATTGCTCCCCATAAGTCAAAATTATCAACTGACTCTAATCACCTGTAAAAATTACCAAACAAAATTTAAAATTTTGAGTGAAAAGTAAAAAACTATAAGTGAAAAACTCTTTAAAATAAGTAGTAAGGATTGCATTTTGCAAGTACTGATAGATGTAAGACCATCTGAGTTTTTCCTGCCCAAGGAGTGGAAGATCAGGTACTGCCATAAGAGAAAAATACAGAATTTATGTTTTACATAAAACATGGAAACAGAATTCAGAATTACCTTGGAGCTTGTTTTCTCCCACACTGAGCCAATTTTAAACCAAGAGCATAATGTACTCCAGATTTATTCAGTGTTAAAAAGAGTCCTGCTCTGCTAAGATCAATCCTTTGCATATCCATTACTGATAGGGGCCATTTCTGGGATGCAGGGCAGGTGGAACATGTGCTAAGCAAGTATATTGTACCAAATTCCTTAGCTTTGTTTGATGAAACTTGAATGCCACGGAGACAGACACAGTACGCAGCTACTCCTCCATGCTGTTCCCATTGTTTCCTGTTAATTGCCTTCATGTTCCTGGGGTGTGCTAGTCCCTCCAAATTTCCTGCCAGCTTGCCATTGCTGCATCGGAGTGTCATTTTCTCTGTATCTGTACGAGAGCATGTTATTTGGATTACTGAACAGTGCAAAGTGTTTATGATATTGTTCCTAATTTACCATATAATTGTTAAGCCTGGACTCATCCAAAACCAGCCTAATTTCCAAGCCCCGAATCTCCTACTGTTTCCAATCAGTGGGGCCAAAAACTCACAGCTATCTGAGGGCTCTCCAGGGGACTGACATATTTGCAGATTAAAGATTTACAAGTGGTTGTTTCTCCCCTAAGGAGACACGCTGAGAATAGCTCATAATACGGGTTTTGATCTTTGTGCTGGCATCATGATAGCGGAAGTATTGCTGTTGGGACGCTGGGCAGGTAAATGGCTGCTTAGCCACATCCCCGTCCGTTGGAGAGCTTGTCAGCAGGACGGTACCGTACGGGTGTATCCCAGTCAGTAAGTGGAAAGCAAAGTAGTTCTGCTCTAGAATTTTCCATCATCCAGAGGGTTTACTAACATTTGATGACACTCAACACTGGGAAAATAATTAACTAAGAGGTAGAGGAAATTATGCAAATAGTTATCTTGGTACCATTTATCGTTGTTACATTATCATGTTTTTAGAGGGGCATGTCAGACTGATTCTCCCAAAGTGTGTCCAGAGGCTTAACCCAGAGCTGGGTCGGCTTCAAATAATGGGGGAAAGGAAGAGAGAATGGGAAGCCAGTAATAGAAGACAACTCTACGGAAGGAATTCCCAAGCTCCTTTCTGTGCCAGCATCCCATCTGTACCTTCCCTTCATCACTTCCCATTGTGTCCCTCATTCCCATCCCTGTGAATCCCCTGGAAATGGCGCGTGGTTTGGTTCTTTCATGAATATGTTAACGCATTGATCTTTTGCTTGCTGTTTTAGACAGCGAGTGAATGAGTCAACAGGTAACATTTGCAATCCAACGATCCAACATTTTGCTAATTAAATGAATACAGAGAGCAAGCAGTTCAGTGTAACTCAGGCTGCAGAGAAAAATGAGCTGAATCAAAACTTGGCTCAGAGTTTCCTTAGTAACGGGTGCGTTCTGTTTCCGTTTCATTGTTCAACTGGAGAATGGTCTTTGTAAGACCACGTAGTGTTATCGGTGGATTGCAAACAGGCAGTTATCATGGTAGGAGAGATGCAGATAGGCAATGACACCAGTTATTTTCAACCCTCTGCTTTGCCAGAGAATAATCAATTTCAGCACATCTTTAGACACGCAATTGGGTTTCCCCCAGCTCATTTCATACATTCTTGGGGATTAAAACACAGAATGTTGATCGTGAAATCCCAATCTATTTGGCATTTGCTGTTTTATTTTTTTAATTTGGGCTTGCAGTCTAAGGCAGCTAGCCCCTTATGGCACTTAATTTAGAAATTCGCTGTAACTATTTATTCTGGAAAAAGAAAGTCTGCTCTTCGAGTCCAACAGGCTGCTGCTATTCTTCCCCTGAGCTGTCCTCAGTCCTCCCTTCCTTCTTCTCTCTCGCTCTCCGCCTCCCCACTTGAATGCTGGCATGATTCAGTGTTTCCAAATACTCCAAAGGTTTGTTGTGTAATTATGAAAAATTTCGGTGGAACGTGCGTGTTTTAGAGGGTGCTGAGTTTGGCAACGCGGTGTTCTTGGACGGGCATCGTATTTCAGTTGATAACCCTGGATCAGACCTGGAACTATCCCAGTTGTCATGTTTATGCCTTTTCTAAAATTGTCAAATACAGAGCCATAACTCACCTGGTTAGAGAGAGACAAGGAAGGAGGGACAGTCCAGTAATTCAGGTCTTTCCATGAACAAAGAAGTTCACATGGGAATGTGTAGGAGATGAGATAGTAACGTATGGTGACGTTGCAGAGGTGCTTTCAAGTGAGGTATGCAACTTCCGAAAATTACTATTTTAAATTTAGAGCCCAGATCTTCTGTAGTTATTCTCTTCTAACCACTTACGTAATGCGTTTTGTTTAAGTATCCGCTCATTCCGAGCCCAGATAAAAGACTAGCTGTCAAGGCTACATCTGGTACGAAACGCTGAATTACATTTCGCACATGAGAAGTGTCCTTAACAGTTGGGCTAATTAAAGATAAACTCATGTCCTTATGATAAATATTTATAAATTGAAAATCTGGCACTTGTAAACATGCATTACTACTCTGCAGAGTTAAACCATACTTGGAAGCTGCACGTCTAAGAAAGCCTCCTAGCCCATTTTTTTCTTTAGATGCATTATAACAAGTGTTGTCCTTGAAAGTGACTTCAGAGACAGTGAAAATCAACTCAGTTGAGAACACAGCTTACCATTTAAGTGAAAATACCTTTCTGAAAGCCTGTTTGTATAAATTCTGAAAGTTTAGCCTCAGTTGTCAAAGCTCAGTCTCCTGCACACACAGATGCTAAGTACAGAAAAAACCAGTGTGCAGGAGCTGGGAATTAGCTGACCCATCTGTGAGATGCGCTGGAGTCAGTCGACTGCTGCGTGAAATGCATATTCAGCATTTAAGAATTTTATAGTGCTGATATAAATAGGTTTGCTCATAGCTTTGGAGGGAAAATAAATAATGCGGGTAGTGGTCTAGCCAAAACTCTGGTCTGAGTGTCCTGGGTCTTTGATAAACGTAAGTAATAAGTAGTTTTTAAATTAAGTCGTTTATGTAATAGAAGACATACTTCTTCTCACGTATCTCATTCCAGTATAATTTTCTTTGGATGTTGAAGATTTTCTTTCTGTGACGTGAAAAGTACGAGCGTTTTTGTTAACCTGCGGACAATCTTTTTTTGACCTGAAAACCATCACTGACACACTGAAATTGCTTACATGACTTCACACAACATAGTAGTGTTTCTTAATGGCCCTAATGAGCTAAAACAGATTCTAAGCAAATGTCTGAACCTGTTTAAGAGCTTTATTGAATAAAACATAAGTTAATATCTGGTTTTTCACCAATAAAGTTGAGAAGAGAATTTTTGGTTCAGAGTGAGATGAAGAGGTGGTCTGTCTGGGTGAGAGATTTTGAATCCAAGAGAGCATCACTAGGTAATAGATATGATAGAGAAAAGGAAATCCTGTGCAGTCTCCAGCTTTTTTTTAATTAAAAAATTTTAAGTTTGTCTAAATGTCTTCAAAGCAATTTTTCAGCTGTGGTTAAAAAAACTTCATTTGTACATACGGGGAAAAATAACAACCTAACTTTATTAAATGGCATATTTTTTCATTAGATTTGTGAGTGTAGGTGCTGTGACTTCTAACACCTTTACTCGTTAAAAGAGTGTGATACCTACATTCTCCTCTTAGAAGTTTTCTGACAGGAGAGTGGTATTAGAGGAAGAGGCAGCTCTCTTAACATCCACAGCTGAGATATATTGGAGCACTGAATTAAAGCATGGAGTACTGAAAGCTGTTGTTTCTAAAATTTACCAGACAGCGTATGCTATGTTTAATTATTTTCTTTGTTGTGTGATGAAAGTTGACAAGGGAGTAATATTTTCTTCTTCCTGCCATTGAGACCTTGATTTTGGCAAAGCCTATACACCAAGTGAGTAATCTCAGTCCTTGCTTATGTGTCGCTTTGTCAGTCTTTAAGATAATTTAGATTCAAATACTCTCAACTTCACTGATTTAGCTCAACCTTTTTCAACCTTGAAGTTATGCACTTAGTCTGGAGTGACCAAACTTCATCTCTTCTGCATTGCTGTGTGTGAGCAGACCATTCCCCAGGTGTGATAATGTAATCTAGCATGTAGATACACATAGACAGACAATTTTCAGAAGTTCAGCTACCAGTACAAAATACACTGATTCAGATTAGTCTGTAATGTCATTAAGTAATATTTGTTCTTAGAGAAATTTTTGAAATCTCTTTTATCCACTGGGCTGTAGTTTTTGTTGATAAAAACTTCTTTTTGGTCTTTAGGACACAGTAAACCAGAACTGTTTGGAGGTTGTGTTGGGTCTGTGAGAAAGCTTCACTTTCAAATGGAAAAAGTAGCAAAGTCAGGAAGTAAATTCCACTGAAAGGTCCCAAGAGGCATTCACAAAAATGAAGTACCGAGTGACCTTCTACGGACAGCACCCCTACAGGCTTCTTTAGACCAGCACTCTAATTAGGTGATGTGGAATCACCCTCTGGCTGTGCCTGTTGTTTCTCCTCCAATTATGTAGGAGAAATAAGTGAGACTAAGGCCCTTCTCTGTACAGCTGTATTCAGGGTTGTCCTGTATAAAAATGCTTTTGACACAGATACACTTTGCAAACTAATACC